AAAAATAAACAACANGTATTTTCCAAAATGGAGAGGTTACTTTTGACTTGGTAAATGCACTCTTGCCAACTAGAATATCTATCATCTAGAGAAAGAAAGGGAAAAAAATAAACAACATCGCTAGCTCCACCAAACAAAAGACCCTCCTGGAACATGTGTCTGTTTCCTTGTCTAATTTTTGTGCAAAAGTTGAAAATGCCAGTCTTTTGACAAGTTATCAATCGAAGTTACCAAGTAATTAATGAGAAAGATACCAAAAATTGGCATGCTTTCACACGGCTTTCAAGATGAATTTCAGGTGCCAAATAAGAGAAAAGGGTAAGGCTACGGTGCCAAAAAAAAATATTGGTATTATATTGAATATATTTTATAGTCGGACATAATTTATTTTAAACATTGGTTGTTAAAACAGTAAAGCGAATTAAAATAATTTGCATGCGTCGTGGACGAAAAAAACAAATATGAGACCAAAATTTAACTTTTGTGCACCACAATTGGGTCCTAAAAACAAACTTATTGGTGCATTTATAAACATTTACACTCCCTCGTTCAGCTATGTAGGGGTATAGCTATTAATATATGGGTAAAACTATGTTAACGAAAAATTATTGGTTTTTGGTACAATACTAAAAATTACAAGAAATTAGGGTGAGTGTTCAAGTCAATCCGGTAAGATTAATAGAAAATAGGGTTGTTGAGTGGAAGCAACTTTTTTTAATTGTATTCTCCATTTGTACTTGTCATTCTTGCACAGAAGTCATGTTAATCTTCTCTGTATCGTTCTAATTTTATCGGATGTCCGAAACATTTTTCAATTGTAACTTGACCTTAAATGCGTCGTACCTGGTCCTGTCAATGAACTAATTATTCATATCTAAATGCAATTTTGTTTTTTTGATGGCTTATGGATTTAGGCTTATATTTATTAACGGTTAATAGTACTTTTAATTCTTAAAGTATGTATTTTTTGTCAATTTAGTTGTAATTGTATCAATTTGATGCTTAAACTATCTATTTCGTGTCATTTTGGATCATATATAGATGGACTCATTAAGTTTTTGACAGAATGATTACGTGGTTAGCACGTGATACCGTTTAAAAAAATGACACGTGATCAGTTCTATCAAAAAAATGACAAATTGTTTGATTAAAAACCAAAATGACACGAATTGAATACTTTAGAGACAAAATTGATATAATGAAGACAAAACTGACAAAAAATATATATTTTAGAGACCAAAAGTACTATTAACTCATTTATTAATATCCAATCCAATTTCAAATTTTACATATATAAATATATGTAAATATATAGACATATTAGGAAAGTTATTAATTATTTAATAAAAATTGATGTGTAATTCGTTAAAATCAACTCAAATTAAATTAATCACATTGATTTTTTAAGAGGAGCAAGTATGATTTATGAAGATAAAATTTGTCAAATAATCGGATCAAAATTTTTAGTCGGAATCGGGATTAAGATCTTAACAAATCTGATATGATTCGTTAACAAGCTTAGTCGTTACTAATCCTCCGTCTCTTAAGAATTTTGTTATGGTACCATTTTCTGACAAGTAAATAACCCAGGGAAAGAATCAAGCAGGTTGAAAAACACTAACTTCCTTACATCAAATTTTCATCTTCATTTGTCCAGTCCTGATCACTCAATCATCTGTATTCTACCTTTTTACTTTTCTTTTTCTCTCTCAGCGGTCGGCTTTTCTCCTTTCATTGCACATGACACAGATAAATAAATTTCTGTCTCTGTCTTATGAACAAACATACAAGTTTGTCACCAATTCGCCTGGCACACCACTCCACACCTTACGAATCCTCCTTTGATCCCTTTATCTCTTTTCTATTTCCCCTTTTATAGTGCGTCTATTTGTCTCCTCTAAACTGCAATTTAGTACAGACTTTTGCTTTTTGATTTCTTTAAATCAATCTTCTTGTCATGTTTATGACTTATTTTGGTTATTGCGCTTACCTTAATTTTTTCCTCAGTTGCAAAGTTTTTGTCAAGAGTACACATTATTAAATGATAAATGAACACACAACAATAGTATTGAATCATAGAGATGTTAACTAGGACATGAATATCAATCATACTCGTATGTTTATGTTTAACTCCCATAATGAACTAAACATTTTATAATATAAAACATGACATACTTTAATAAGTTTATTCGACAGTTTCAAATAGATTCATTTACTAAAATTTTTTTTAAAATCATTCACATTGCATTGTATTTTCACATACGAGTTACCCCTAGTGAATATATACTAGACATCTCACCAATCATTCTAACTCAATTCTCAGCAGGGTGATACCTAATTAATTAGCGTCTTTTGATTGATAGTAAATTCTAATTAATGTTGAGATTCGCCAGCATTCTAATGACAGTTGACCATCATGTTAATTCTTTTTTCCATTTCATTTTGGCCACAATTTTTAATTTTTACAAAAACTAAAATAAAAAAAAAATTGAAAACTAAAACCACCTTAGTTTTTATCTCTTTTAATTTGTTACAACTTAGCAAAAATATTTTAATTATATAGCATGAAAATATAGGACAAATATGATATATATTCCCTTCCCAATCTTCTTTCCTTGGTACTTTTATTTCAACAAGTACTTAACTCAACTAAACACATATTGGTGTCCTTTATAGATTAATAAAAATTTAATTGTTAAATTTTTTTTCACAGGCAACACACCTGGTGCACTTCTAGTAAAAGAAAAAAAAATCAACAAATCAAAGAAAGAGAAGAGCCCAAGGGAGTGTGATTTGAGTCATTCAACCCTTACATTAACAAACCAAATATCTTCAGTGCTTACATCTAAAATCTTGGCTTATTTGATTTACAATAATCACCAATATTGGTGAAGGAAAGTACTATTTGAAATAAAACCAAAACAATGGAGAAAACAACTCCTATATCTGTCTCATCATAAAATCCTCTAATCATAGGTTCTTTCCACTAATGTTCTGAACATTATCGTCTTGCCTTTTTTTTTTTGGACTCATGGAGAGAGTTAACAAAGGTGTGTAAAAATGTAAAAGTATGCTAATGCAAGAACTGGAGAGGAACCCTTGGGTTATCAAAGGTGTATGAAAGTGTATAAGTATACCAAGGGCAAGAAGTGGAGAGGAGCACTTGAGTTGTCAAAGGTGTCTAAAAGTGCTAAAAAAGCATAGTAATGGAAGTAGTGGAGGGTCCTTTGATGAAGGGGAACATTTATGAACAAACATTTCTTAAGTTATCAGATGTGGCAGCAGTGTCATGTGTCCATCGTACATGCCTTGCTATGTTTAATTGGCTTAAATTAGAGAGAGAGAGAAAGAGAGATAGAGAGAGAGAGAGAGAGAGAGAGAGAGAGAGAGAGAGAGAGGGAGACCCATCAGCTTTGTTATGTTTCTTTTTGGGCAATGGATCCCGTTGAGATTTCCCTAGTTGCAGGATTAAGGAAGGAGGCAATTGTTAGCAGAAAAGGAAGTAAGATGTGGTTGGGTTTTATAGTTTTTTATATGAAAAAGACTGAACTTACCCAACTCATTTAGTCTGGTTAATTATGTCGATCGAATTCCTATCGTATTTACCCCAATTTTTGTAGACCAATTTCTTTGTTGTATATGGTCAATTCATTTATTTACAATCTCGAAATCACTAAAAATTGGACTTTTTTTTTTAATACCAGGCTGACTATTTTCATGAAGCTTATTACGAGGTTTAGGGGTTTGTGGATTGTTTTTCCCAAACCCTAGACACCAATCCCCCACACCCACATAACAAACAGTCCCTAAGGGTTTGTTTGGATGAATTTTTGAAAAAAGATTGGATTGATTTTTACAAATCCTTCCAAATTTAAACTTTTTTTTACAAAGACAAGATTCAACATCGAATCTATTCTATACCAATGTTTGGTATGCATATACATGAAGGTTCCATAGATATATCATAACTATTAACAATCATTTATCCTATAAATAATTATTTTGCCCCTTGATCAATTCAATTCATACTCATATTAAAGAGTACAATTGTCTTTTGTATCCTTAATCTCTTAACCCATTTTTTCAAACTCATCCCCTAAGTTTGACAAAATTCATGATCATAGGTTTAATATCCAGACTAGCTGCGGGCTTGATTTGGAAAGCCAAAATTAAAATTTTAATCTAAACAAGAGATTTAAAACTATTTTCCAAACCCTAGATACCAAACCCACAAAACAAAAATGGACACGGCAACTTTTAACGGGAGTACAGAACGTGTAGTTATACTAATTGGACATACTCTGATGTTTAATACCCACAACTATTGGCCATCATCAAGTCATAAAAAATAATAATAATATTTGTATTTAATTTAGGGATTTAATGTATTATAAATGTTGAATTTAATAATGGGATCAAAAGGGATGCTACAGTGGATTGAAAAATTGATGAGATCTTTCATTTCGCCTGATCCTGAGTTAAAATCTGAACGGGTTCTAGTCCCTTGACTAAGTTTTTACAAAACCAAAGGACAAAAGAGTGTTTAGCATTAACGATTCGAACAATTTTTGTTGTTTGGTTAGCATCTATGGACTAATTGGGAAGATGAGACATTCCTAAATATCATCTGCTTATATAGAATGCCAGAAAACTTTAGAGATTGGACAGTATGGCCACTATTCTGGCACTCCTCTTTTAGTTATATCTATAACAACCATATGCATTGCATGGGAATTGTACTATATATATTATAAATGGAGCCATTGAGCTAGGCATCATTCCCTATCTTTCTAGAGTCTCAAAATCTTTAGTGACAGAGTAATCTCTCTCTCTCTCTCTCACACACACACACACTTAACACAAGAGAAATAAATAAAGTCTCTATTTCCCTCAGAGACATGTGAGCCAAATGTCATTGTTTGTGAATTAGGGCTCATGCTTTCATCTTCTTCCTCATAAAGACAAACACTAATCATCTCCTTTTTTTAGGTTTTGAAGGAATGGAGGAACATGGGTTTTATCAATGCTTTGAAAAGATACTATCAGCAACCGACGTAAATCGCAACTTGGAGATACCCAAAGGGGCGCGTTTATTGCCTGAGGGAGACGAGGTCATGTTTGTAAGTGACCAAGGTGGAAGGAGGTATCAATTTAGGGCTTCAGTGAGGAGCGGAGGGAGGCGTTCTATGACGCACCAGTGGCACTATTTTGCAATGGCAAGGACTCTTAGAATTGGCGACATTCTAAGACTTTACCGTTCAGATTATGTGAATGAGTATGTTGTGGAGGTGAAACGCCCTGTACAACTCTTTGGAGTCACCATAGGCTGGATTTAATAAGTTCAGCGTTACAATATTAATTGCAATCATCACTAGTTTCTCATTAGGGCATGGTATGAAGTTGTTTATGGTGTTTTTTGTTAGATGTTGTGTGCCGTTTCCAATATTTAAAACTATGGACTTGTTTGAATTGGGTTTATGGATCAGAATAAATCCAAGGCTCCAAGCTTGCATATATGTTAAGATTAAGTATGTTCCATATATTTGTAAAAGGTTTTGGCTGTAATGTTTCATAGGGTATATGCCCCAAGGCCTCTCTCCTGCGTTAGTCTTTCAATTGTTTGGACTTGTGGACTCCTCTCCTCTTCTCTCTTTATTGTATCTCTCTATTCTAATTCTAATCTAAAGGTGGCTTGTTTTCTCTCCATTGTTTTTTTGAAAAATGTTTCTTTGAAATCAATCTTTCCATGTTGTCTTTTGGGTTTATACAAATATATGTATACATACACACATATATATACCACCAATTTCACTGAGCATTGAGAAACAAATTCTATTTTCTGCAATTAGAAGAAGTGGTGGCCTGATTTGTGATTGGTTTTTAGTTTGTCATTCTGGGTGACAATGACAGAGCTTGTGATGTTGATGAACAGGCCAAAGAATTTAAGGATGATTCCAGATTATGGCGCCAATGATGGAGGNAAGAGAAATAAATAAAGTCTCTATTTCCCTCAGAGACATGTGAGCCAAATGTCATTGTTTGTGAATTAGGGCTCATGCTTTCATCTTCTTCCTCATAAAGACAAACACTAATCATCTCCTTTTTTTAGGTTTTGAAGGAATGGAGGAACATGGGTTTTATCAATGCTTTGAAAAGATACTATCAGCAACCGACGTAAATCGCAACTTGGAGATACCCAAAGGGGCGCGTTTATTGCCTGAGGGAGACGAGGTCATGTTTGTAAGTGACCAAGGTGGAAGGAGGTATCAATTTAGGGCTTCAGTGAGGAGCGGAGGGAGGCGTTCTATGACGCACCAGTGGCACTATTTTGCAATGGCAAGGACTCTTAGAATTGGCGACATTCTAAGACTTTACCGTTCAGATTATGTGAATGAGTATGTTGTGGAGGTGAAACGCCCTGTACAACTCTTTGGAGTCACCATAGGCTGGATTTAATAAGTTCAGCGTTACAATATTGATTGCAATCATCACTAGTTTCTCATTAGGGCATGGTATGAAGTTGTTTATGGTGTTTTTTGTTAGATGTTGTGTGCCGTTTCCAATATTTAAAACTATGGACTTGTTTGAATTGGGTTTATGGATCAGAATAAATCCAAGGCTCCAAGCTTGCATATATGTTAAGATTAAGTATGTTCCATATATTTGTAAAAGGTTTTGGCTGTAATGTTTCATAGGGTATATGCCCCAAGGCCTCTCTCCTGCGTTAGTCTTTCAATTGTTTGGACTTGTGGACTCCTCTCCTCTTCTCTCTTTATTGTATCTCTCTATTCTAATTCTAATCTAAAGGTGGCTTGTTTTCTCTCCATTGTTTTTTTGAAAAATGTTTCTTTGAAATCAATCTTTCCATGTTGTCTTTTGGGTTTATACAAATATATGTATACATACACACATATATATACCACCAATTTCACTGAGCATTGAGAAACAAATTCTATTTTCTGCAATTAGAAGAAGTGGTGGCCTGATTTGTGATTGGTTTTTAGTTTGTCATTCTGGGTGACAATGACAGAGCTTGTGATGTTGATGAACAGGCCAAAGAATTTAAGGATGATTCCAGATTATGGCGCCAATGATGGAGAGGGGAATCAACATTTTGCAATATTTATCGAGATATTCTAGCAAACATAAAGCATGACGTGATTTGATGGGGGAGGGAAAACAATGGGAGAGATGCAACTGATGGATTTCTCAGTCAAAAGTCTCCCCTCCCCCCCTTCCCAAGGGCCCCAACTGAGTGTGTGTGTGAGAGAGAGAGAGGGTGGTAATTAAGGGAGAGATGAATGCACGACAGGTTGCTATTTTTGGTTGAGTAATGCATTTTTTTGATTTAATCAGATAACCTAATTCAAAATAATTTTTAAATTAATAGTGGGTTATAATGTTAAATGAGAATCACTGTTAATTTAATAATTATGGTTAATTAGATCAATAAATTAAATTTAATTAAACTTATTCTTCTTGTATCATGAACTGTCAAGCTGGGGAAAAATGGCAACATAAATCTAAACTAAATTTTTTGTTATGACAAGAAACATTTGCATGGGAATGTTATATTATATTAGACTCATCCTGTAGAGTAAATCATGCATATCCACATTCACTTGCGACCTATAGATATCCATTAAACAATGGACTCACCAGTGATAATCATCCAGCAAATTAGAAAAAAAGGAAGAAATAACAACGATGAATAAAAATGCCTAAAAAGTCTAAATTCACATTTTGCCTCAAACCAGTCCCACATCTCTCAACAACATGTGCAGATTTAATATAGGGGAATGTCGATGTAAATATGGTCCTTAAAGAACATTAGTTATATACATACATACATACATATATTTATATGTATAATTAAGAGAGAGAGACAGAGAAGAGGTCACACTACAACAAATTTATTTTTTAGCAACGAGTTTTTGGCCGCAAATGATATTTGGTCGCAGAATATGTTAAATAAAATGTCAACTCTCATGGATTAAAATGATGTCGTTTGAAGTTCAATGATTGGGAGAATTACACTTAGATCTCTGAAGTTTGTCACTTAATTACTTAGACGTTTTAATATTTAAAATATTACACATAGACCCTTTAAAGTTTATGCGCACGTAATACTTAGACCCCTGCTGTAAATATATCCGTTAATAAATTATACCTAAACCTCTCTAAAGTTTGTAGACATATAATACTTAGACTCCTTCAAGAGGTTTGTGTGAATATTTAAATATTAGAGGATCTGAGTGATTAAGTAACAAATTTCAGAGGGTCTAGATATAATTCTCTCTAGAAGAGATTGGCTGTGATTATTCTTAGATTGAGTAGTACTTTTACCAGATTGCCATGGATGGGGCACTGTCTTGGTGACTGGTTTGCTTGGGCTTTTTGATACCCTTTTGGATTGCTCCATCTGATAGACTGTAGCCTCTTAATAACAGTACCCTTGTTATTTGAGAGTAGAAAATGAACTTAGCTCCCCCCAATTCGACAAGATTAGACAGTTAACTATCAATCAAAAAAGAGTGGTTTTGTGAAATCTTGATTGCTTGAAAATTATCAGAATCGGTTGAAAGAATGTACAATGGGTTTGATTTAGAGCTGGTTGCTCTAGCTTTTCAAATCCTTCTTTTGTTAATCAGAAGCTACCCTTCAATCGAACACCGAAAGTAGTAGCAACAATAACATAATTAGTTCTTTGCATAGGCTTTGTTTATAAATTATATGAACAGACAGAGAGATTGATAATATCAATGAAAAATAGAGAACACTTGTATATTTAATAGAGATTGATGCCCCCTGTAATTGATGCCACCACCTATTACAAGCTAAAAATGACCGGGCTGCTAAGTCGGTAGAGACCGAGTCAATGATTTTCACAGGGAAGTTTGATGGATTCAGTCTCAAGTTTTAGACTTGGCCTCTTGTTTTCCAGTTTTTTGGAATCGGTTACCTATTAGCCTATAGGCTATACACTATACTTTCTCTCCCCTGCTTTTGATGTTAAATTATGAAGAGAACATTTGGAACTCAACTGGGTGCATGGTGAGTACCCGATGGTCACTGGTTTGAACTTCGTTGTTTTTTTGCAATAATGTGTGATCAATAATAAAAAAGAAAAGAAATGAAAAAGTGATTGCATGATAATACCATAGCCAAAAATCTGAGAGAGTGTATGGTGTGATTAGAAAGGAGAATGAAATTAAAGCTGGCTGTCCATGTTTAGCTTTTGGGGGGTAGTGGTGTGGGGGACCAAAAGGTATTGCCACCAAGTCTCTGAAAACTTGGAAAATGAAGGTGTTAATACTGTTTGATAAGAACGTATCGCAGTGTTCTTGTTATACCACAATCTGCATTCCTTAAAAGTTGACGTTATTCGAGAAGGTATGACTTAAAGTATCTTTATTCTTCGACAGTTTCAATATTTGTATCAGCGTTGTATTTAGATCCTATTGGCCTTACGTATCAAACACATTGGGAGCCTCGATGGACGTATACCAAATTATGTTAAGAAGTGAGGGGAAAACGAGGTCTTATGTTTTCAGGCAGAGCTTCATCCTTGAACACTAATGATCTGCGTTGCCATATATGTGGTCTGAACTGTTCNGAGCCTCGATGGACGTATACCAAATTATGTTAAGAAGTGAGGGGAAAACGAGGTCTTATGTTTTCAGGCAGAGCTTCATCCTTGAACACTAATGATCTGCGTTGCCATATATGTGGTCTGAACTGTTCACATGGCTGATTTGTTTTGGTGACCAAATCAGTTAAACTATCTAATTCAAAATGGTATTAGAAATGTATGGAGAAACACTTAGGGGTGGTTTAGTGGTTGAGTCTGACCTTTAATAATTNTGTGGTCTGAACTGTTCACATGGCTGATTTGTTTTGGTGACCAAATCAGTTAAACTATCTAATTCAAAATGCTATTAGAAATGTATGGAGAAACACTTAGGGGTGGTTTAGTGGTTGAGTCTGACCTTTAATAATTCAAAAGGTCTCAGTTTCATTTCATTTCATTGTAGGATCACTACATTTCCACTTTTTTTTTTATGTCAAATATCCACTTCATTAGAAAGGAGTGTATGGTGTAATTGCCAAATTATTCTCTGTCAATTGTCACTACAATCTGTCTATAAATATCCACTTTTTTTTATCACTAATTTGGGATTTTTATCTGCTTATGGCTTCTCGGTGTCGTGGCCGGGGGTTCTGAGTTTCAGTTTTTATATGCCAAACCCGGTAGGAACTAATATCTTACAATGCTCTGCTTTCTTCTTCTGGTGGCTTGGCGAAATTTAATTGTCTATTTTAAATTTCTAATACTCTTTCAGACTGTTCCAATATTATTCTTCTTTCCTTTATTGCAAATTTTAATTTTTGTTATTTTTTTCTAGATAAGTATGGTCAAAATTATAGACAATGAGTAGTGGAAATTCATGAGTGGCTGAAGCTTGTCTTCCAAAGGAGCTGGCTTGCTCGGCTACGTGATCACGTTCTGCCATAAACCATATATATATGTACGTGTCGTCTTCTTTGGAGGGCTGTTTTGAGAATCAGCCATCCATCTCTTTTGGGGGGGGTGTGAAAATTAAAGTATCATATGCCACGCATGTCACTTGTTTCATCATTTGGGGTGGAGAGTATGTGGGAAGTGGTAGTTTGGTCTGCAATGGGTGGTGGGTGATTTTGTTGGCTTTGAATAAATAAAAGAATGATATCTTGTGCCTTCGATTTAACTCTCTGTTGTACTTCTGTATGTTTCCTTTGGAGAGATTCTGGGAAGGTGCTCGAATTCTGCAATTTGATTATTTATTAGAATCTCGGTTACTGTCGGGGTGTTAATTTTATCCGTTAACACGAATCCGATTAGACACAAAATTTAAAAATAGCACGATTAATTGACACGAATAATAAATAGGTTAAATTAAAGTTTGAAAAAAAATACTACGATTAATAAGTATTGTAGATAGAAAATAATTATTTAACAAGTAAGAAAATACGAATAATTTTTTAATATGAATAATTTTTAAATACAAATAAAAAAATACGAATTAAATAATTTTTTATTAACACGAATATTGACACAAATTTGACACGTATCAAAAGTGACACGACACGACACTAATTGACACCCCTGGTTACTGGTACTATTCTAATTTCACATGTATTTCTTACTGAAAAATAAAAGTGCTCAATTGTTCACATTTATAATTGTTGTTGATATTGTTTGAATTTTTTGATATACGTTGACATTTAATTTCATTTCATTTCATTTAATATTTTCTCTATTCTTGTTAAATGGAGAAGTGGCTGAAAATGGACAAGAGTTGGATGACAATTAGGGAAAGAAAAAGTAAACAGTATGTTGATGGGGTGGAGGCATTTATTGATTTTGCATTGTCACAAAC